GTGGTTGATTTTGGGTTGTTCGAGTTGAAAAAAACACACACACACACAACAACAACAATAATAATATAACCTGTCTCTCATCTGTGGTGATATTTTAAACACTGTTCTCAAGAGAGATAAATGGTAATACTACTACTACTACTAATAATAAAAATATTAATGATGTTTTTTAAGAGGATGAAAGTAACAAAAGACAAACAATAATAATAACTAATTGTAGATTTCCTGTAACATATAATAAAGAAGTTATAGTATAAATAAATAAATATATTTCATGATAATGTTACGCAACAACAATGTTTATGTGAATTGTAAAAAGCGACGAAAAACTATTCAGAATTTAAGGGATTTGTGGAGATTTTGGCTCATTTCAGTTGAGAGGTCTCCTCGAAAAACCGAAATCACTTGAGGAGGGGAGTGGAAATCACGAAGGGATTGGTGAAGGTAGTGTTAATATCGTGAACTAATAAAGTTCACGGGTTCACGGGTCAATGAACTCCATCAAAAAGGAGGCTGAATGGTCAACGAGAATAATTTCGAATAAATTCAAAAGTCTTGACTTCGATAACTAATCAAATCGTGGGTGCACATAGATGAAGAGTTCCAAAATAGGATGAAACAGTTGTCCAGCGCAGATTGTACTACAAAGATCAGTTCTGTTTCGAAGACACTGCGGAAATGAAGCAAATTTTCAACGTTCTTTAATACTAATAATAATTTGCTTTATTCCAAAACAGTACTTGTGATACAGAATGGAATTCTCAGAATTTTACTACAGTATTGCATCCAGTTAGTAAATTAACAATAAAATAAAATTCTACATAGATTAAGCATAATCTCAGTTAGTTTTGAAAACAACATATTAGCATGTCGGTAGCAAAGCCAAAATTAAACAGGGTGTTTTGAAGGTGTTAGAAAAGTAGATGCCTGCACATTTACTGGCTTAAGCAGAAGAAAGAAACAAAACTGCACATAACAGAAAAAAGAGAGGAAAAAGGAAAAGAAAGAAAGAAAGAAAAACGTCGCACCTGTAAATGAAATGAGTTGGAAAGACGAGATCCAGTTGTTCTATTGACTATTTAATAACTTAAGGGTTTCACGCCTAATACTTTCTTTATCGCACAGAACACGAGCTTAGTAGGGTATGGTTGAGTTTTTGTACTTGCTAGTGCGAGCATATAGTTTTCTATATAGGTCTCTGGATTTGCCTAACGAGATACAAGGGGAGAGTTGTGAATGAAGTTGGTGGTGTGAGTTAGATAAAATGGATTTCGCCCATTTTTCACATGAGTCCATGTGCCTGTCAACCAGAATATTAACAAGCTGGTTAAGTGACACGTTGCTTACCCTGCTGACAGCCTTTAACATCCTGCGTAATCAGGTATAGTCTTTCTTCAGTAGCCCTAGAAAAACTAAGGAGGAACAATAGAGAGTAATAGGCAGAATGCGAGAATTGAGGAATTGTAGTAGTAAGGGTTGGTTTATACCACAATGTCTTAACTTCTTGATGTAAAGGGTAAGAGGGAATATTTTCTTAGAAATCATCAAGATATGAGACGACCAGGAAAGATCAGAAGATGGAATGACGCCTAGGTATTTAATTTCTGACTTGGTTTCAATTTCATTGCCATCAATGTTGCACACCTCGTGAGTGCTAACCAGTTTGTTGAGGTTAGATTTATGCCTTAAGGTGAAATTGACTGTTTGGGATTTAGAGGGTTTTGAGGTTAGAGCGTTTTTCTTGGACCACTGGCTGATTTCTGGTAAAAAGCCATTTAGTTTGGAGCAGTCACTTCCTTCATGGTTAAGTAAGATCCAAAACTGTCAAATGCCCAGATAGCAAAACATAGCTGAACATAGCGCTGATTCCCGAAGACTAATCGGTGCCTCAGAATATCATGTGGGATGACAGACGCGAGAATATCAGTAAATGCAATGGCAATAGCAAGACTGTTTATTTTTTCATTATCAGTGAATCAGAACAACAGGACCTTAAAACACAAAGTCGATAAACGTTAATAAACCTCAACTTAAATCACAATAATATTAATGACCGTTTTTAACCAGTTGTCTGCCAACCAGCGTATGATTAGGCAACAGCCGTCATTTTAGTTCTCCATCCAGTGCTCACCAACACTGACAAGTATTTTCTGTATAATGCCAATCAGTATTAAATTCAGTCTTCAAATCAATTAGCCCATTTAAGACTGTTCCATTGTTATTCTGTATAAACCCGTAATCTGTTATTCGTTCTCCAGCCCACTGATGGCTACTGTATGGATGGGTTCTTGAAGCTCTAATGAGAACCCGTGACCAGTGCAGTCCACCACATGACAGTGAAGGCTGTGATCATATTTTTTGAGAGAAACATCAACAAACCAACCAATTACTATTAGTAAATCCCCTGTAACACATGAAGAGGTTAGTGTATAAATAAATTTAATGATGATGGTAACTGTCAGACGTGAGATGTTGTTGCGTAACAAGAATATTGATGCAGCAAAAATGAAGACTTCATCACGAATCAACATTACTAAGACAGATCAGTAGATGTCAGCAAGCACTGGCCAGTTGTCTCGTCCTGTAATATATAATGAATGCAATGCTTAGGGTAGTATTGTTTCGCGAAATGCAAAAGTCAGAATTTATTACAATTAATTCCCGTGAGGTAGGTTAAACAAACGTGTGAATAATATATCATATAAATTTAATGGTTTTTATCCAGCAATGAAATTCATACAAGAAATACAGAGCGAGTCTATCATTCATTCTCTCAATGTGAGCTTATCAAGGAGGGCTGACGGCACTCTGAATCGATCACTTTATCTCAAAAGCTGACATGGAATGGTCAAATGATCGATTTCTACAATCGTGTAAGTTCCTGGCTGGTCGAAAGTGAAACCTGACTGGATCTCTTGCCAGTCACATTCAGGGCATATGTAATGTTGGTGCTATGGGGGAAGAATTAATTCTTACAGGAAAAATCTTAGTGGAAAACGGAATTCCACCAACGTATGAGATATGACTCACCATCTGTAAACCAGAAACGCTGTAAAGGAAGCTAGAGTTCAAAGGTGACTCAGCTGGCTATACACTTAAAAGAAGGATCTTCCAACCTTAAAAACTGACATTCATTTCAGCATTGTTGAGAACTGCGTTTTCTAGTCAGCCGCTACTGTTCAGTGAACTGAAGGACGATTGATTCTATGTGCATCGATCACTTTACCTGCTCGCGTGCACATAGGTGTATCAGTTGTTCGATTTGGCTTTTGTCGCAGAAGGGACAGAAACACTATCCTACTTGGTTTCGAAGAGGTAGAAGTGGAGCAATAGGAAGCACGATCAATAGATAACTGGTCAATACTGATCACCCTATCTCAACAGACTTTTGGTTTGAACTCATCTACAAGGTAAAAAATAATTTACCCAAAACATCTGAACACCATGTAGTAGATTACTAAGCAACTATCTATTAAGTATTTGTGCAACTGTTTTAGAAATTATGTTTGTGTGTTTCACCATTACATCATCACTTATAACGCTGTGGACGGCGGTATAAGCTAATTCTGAAGAAGTCATTTACACTAACGTCTGTCGGAATACAGAAAAGAATTGGCTTTCTCTCTTCATAAGAACTACTTCATGAAGTATTTTTTCAAATCCCACCAAAACCCACCCACCTAATATAAAATCTATAACCATTCTAGCGGCTTTTAATGACCCTACCAATCAAGAACTGCGATCCTGGTATTAACGGAGGTTGAAAATTTGATACTTTAAGCATCCGAATACCACCCAGTAAATCAGTTGGCCACTACTTATTAAATATTTGTGCTATTATTTTAGAAATTATGTTCGTGTGCTTCACCATATCATCAGATGAAATGCGAGTGCTAGATAGAATGAATTTGCGGTTACTCATAACATAGATCCACACTTAGTCACCTGAATCTGACTGTTGTCTATATCAGGATTTCAATCGAACTCATCATGTGAGAGCGTACCACACAATCTACACAGTTTCACAGGATGAACAAGACTGGGGCGAAGATATACAGGTACAGAAATTATTAACAGTGAAAATTATGTTTCACATCTACTCAGATTATTCAACGACACACATACGCATTAGTGAACTTATTATGGAACATGAAAATGACGGAAAGTTTCATTTCTTCCTTGACATTGCTATGAAACGTCTGGAAGATGGTAGTGTCCAGCGGTCAGTTTATCGAAAGTCTACATGGAATGGACAATACTCATAGCTTAATCGGTTTCGTTCAAATAGCTATAAATGAGCACAGGTGAAAACTTTGTTTTACAGAGCCAGGAGAATATATTCTGCAGAAAAATTGTAGAAAGAATTTCAAATTCACGAAACGATGCTGGAAAACAACGGTTAACCTAAGAAATTCCTTACCAAGGATGTAAGATGTGTAAACTCAAATGATAAGCAAATCACACTGGAAAAAGACAGTATTCATTCAACCCGATTTTAAAAGCGTCAAAACTGCCAGAATAGTCAGCAGAAGATTAGGTACCTCATTAGCTAGAATCTACCCTGCAACCGAATTAGTTCCCCTTAGTCGGTCAATTTGCTCCCTGGTGCAGTCAAAAGTCGAGATATAGTCTGCCTGTGTTATCTGTTACAGTATACGCGGATTTGCACGTATCTGCAGCAGCAGTTACATTCAATGAACAGAAAGAAGGGAACACGACTTCAATTTTCTGAACATGTACCAAAAAGCCTATGAATTTATGAAACAAACTATTACAACAGTGCCGTTAACAGACATCTTACAAATACACATTCACTGAAAAATCCTTTAAAATTTGTAGAAGCAGTCCCTAACAAATGCCTGAAACCCCCAATCAATCTTTCTTTGCACTGGTAACTGGATGTCTTTGTCCTTTCTTCCATTTGATGACTGCGTAATCCCTGGCCCTTGCTTCTACTCAGTCTTTTACATACTGTGACTTTGGTTATCTCGTGTTCTTATGGCTTCAGTTGAACTTTACACATCGTTACTCCATAGATTGTTTACTCATCATCTTACACGCTTCTTGTCCTTACTACAGAACCCCATAACAACCATATGCTAGTTCTGTTTAAAATTGAGCTCTTTGAATTAAAACTGTGTCAGCATAATTTTCTGAGCACTGTTTATTAAGTTCGGCGTCTTCTGCCATTAACTGATATCATGTAACATTTTCACGTTAGCTAAAACTGTTTTGTACATCAAACACTTGATAATTTCTTCAGGCCGTACATAGCTGATGAAAAGTCAACGAAATAAATGATGGTATCATCTTGTTCCACACAGACTGTTATTCTTGCTTTATTCAAATTTATAAAGAGAAATAAATGTATGAAAACTATGAGTGTTGAATCAAGCAGCATTTTCATCATAAAGGCGAATTACAGAAATACGAATCAGATTTCACATGGTTTGTAAACTTCTTCATATGTCACTCATTGCCTTGATCTATGTGATACATTTAAAAAGTGGAAAGGTTTAATTAATTCGAAATAATAGTTCCCCGTATTATTGGTGGGATTTGGAGGGAAGTTTTTAGAAGGAGAAACTACGAGGATGAAAAAAAATACTCCAAAGAAGAATAAGTATAGAAAACTCGAGATGAATATGTATTTGCTGCGGGCCACTTTATCTTTCCATACCAACTGAACTAGCGTAAAAATCATCTAAAATAATAAAATCAACACGAAAAAAATCACAGTTTATAAGGCACAGAATTAAAAATCGAGTTATTTAACATTTACTAGCATGATAGTTCCAGTGATGCGATATATTAACAAGCTTCTTCATAATTAGTAGAAATATTTTGCAGTGAATTTACAAAAATACAGACATTTATTCTCTATTTTTTGAGAATAGATTGAGAGAAAGGGCGGAAGCTATCAGGCAAACACAACAACGTGTCTATTAATTCTTTGACCATTGGTGTGACACATTTAGGATGATCTTATGGATGATTAGAATCATTAGAAACATAGTAGGAGACAGCTTGCGACAATTCACGTGTATGTACCTTTTGTTATCATGTAGATATAATATTTGGCAATACACGGAGAGTGAAATAGGGACGCCGAAGTGAACACAGAAACGCTGATCACGAATACACCGAGCTGTCTACACCAACAGCATTATACGCCAGCTACCTGTTTCCATCACCCTCACTACTCAAGCAAGAAAATACTACGACGTGAGCCGCAAAGTATGATTCAAAATATCACCAAAGATATGTCAACCAGTCAATCTGTAATCATGGTCAATAAAATACTAGTCATTAATTCAAGTTGGCTGATTCTGATTGGTTATTTGCAGACAGGATAGCGGTCACTTACGTGGGCCGAATTCTTATTGGTTTATTTCTAGACTGAACACAGACCAACACATCAGTAGGTTTTGAACTTCCTGATGAATCCTGAAGTAACCACTAACTCTTCCGAATATGTTCGACGATTGTTGTTCCATTGATTGCTTTCGTCTAGTTTTACATGGGGTTCCACATGGTGTTAGTGCTTGAACAGATGCATTTTGTGCAGGTTTCATGCTGATAACTTAGTCAGTTAGTCAGTCCCAATTTTAACACGTGTTAATTTGTAAGAAGTGTGGAACAGGTTTGTAGAAGAGTTCTCAAATCAGCTATTCTATTTATGTGTCTTTTTCAGTCACTTCAACTTTAATCATTTCTATTCCATCTGGTATGATGGTCGGCTGCAATAGTCTGAGATTAGAATCGACAATAAACAGGATTCGCCACAAAGGGACTCTTTTTGTGTGAGAATGCGCAAATTCCTGCGAATTTTAAATGAGCTGGCAATTAGGCGGGAATGGTGAAGTGCTGAATATATGTTCAGCAGTTATTAGCAATATCACTCCGAACGTTTATTCTATGCATATTATTTTCGCTGTTTTCACTGTCTTCATAACTCTCTCCAGTGATTCTCGCATACAAAATGAATTAAATTACATCAGTAATGTGGCTGGGAAGATTTGTAGCTCAAGTGAGTGAGTTCGGTGTAGTTGTGCACTCTGAGCTGGGAGATGGTTCAGTCATGAAGCTTTCATTAACTTGCTAGGCAACGTTATCAGCACATACTCGTACAAATGGACTTGAGGCTGTGAAAATATACGAAAACAGACAATTATATTCAAGACTGCCACGAGAGATGACTGATAAACTCGTGAAGAATGTTGAAAGCTCATTTCAAAACTGAAGTATGTGCTGGGATAAATGAAAGTTACTCAACTAAACCATCCCACAGCCTAGAGAACACAACTACGCCAAAATATATCAATATATTATTATAATACGTCAGTATATATAACCAGTAATATTGTGACCTACATATAAGGATCCTAATAATGCACAGAAAGCTAGTACCCTCATGGATATCTGAAAGGAAGAGTGAATGAATGGAAAAACAGGTAAGCGATGTGATATTTGAATGAACATAAGAGAAACATAAATGAGTATTTCTAATCCTCATGATGTATGAATCCCATATTGTTTATTACTATATGAGGTTATCTGTGATTTCGAAGACCATTTCTGCTTTTTAGTGGATTAATGAGATGTATGTACCATAAGGAAAACTAGTCGAGCCACCCGTAAGTTGCATCAAACCATCCTTTTTCATATAAATGAACTACTTAAGATTAGATGGCCAGAAAAGATCTGCAACAGGGATCGCTAGCAATGAATGAACCAACCAGGAACCGATTGTGCAACATATATGCAGGAAGCAATGGAGGTAGATTAGCCATACTCTGAGAAAACAAATGTGGTGATTGACAATTTCTATCTCTGTATTGTTTAAATATTTACCGTTGCTTGTTAATATATATTTCTTATATGGATTGAATAATAATTCCACCAAATACAAATTCCTGAATTCATTCCTCTCTGTGTTCTGGTTGAATTCTGTTAATTCGGTTATTGCGAAATACTAATACTACTATTACAAATACTTACAACAACAAACTATTAAGTGACAACAAACGCCAGACCATCTCTCGAGTGGAACCCGAGTGGGAAGTGGCGAGTTGGTCGTCAGTGAGAGGATGACATGGAGGGGGGAGTGATGCGAAGAGGAGAAGAAAGTATATAGACAGACATGGAGCCAGATGAAAACTTTGGCACAGAACCGAATGCAGTGAAGATATCCAGCTGAAGCCTAATGTTCTCCTAAGAAATAAAGGAAATAATAAAAATTAATAATAATAATAATAACTACACACCCGACCGTTAAGACAGTTTACATAGCATAGTCTTTCCATTTAGTATATCCTGAAGTCTATTCATTTGCACATATTTCGTCTACTGAGAAGGTCAAATAGAAACACTCTGTTTCGATCTTAATGATCAATAGAAATTTAATAACAGACTGCTTATAAACTGTTTTACTATTCATACGTCGACAATAAGAAATGAATATCGCTCAGAAAATGAATGTTTTCTTCGTTATTGTTCATTCCTTGAGTTGTGAATGAGAGATAGGGCTTCAGTGGTGAATGTTCGTCCCGCTCGCCTCAACCATCTCCACAACTGACTTCAACCCTTTCTTTCACTCCTCATCTGCTGCTCACCTTCGGCAAAGTAACTCATCCTCTACAATTGGTGGATGGTGGCTAGCAGTGGAATCCAGGATGCGCATTTCGTCCTATTTGGGACTCGTCATCTGGATGTACCTGCATTTCTCAGTGAGTGATGATGTTCCCACCGAGGTTCGAACCCAGTGCCCATAGTTTCAAACGCCAAGGCGTTATCCACTAGACCACTATGGGTACTGGGTTCGAGCCTCGGTGGGAACATCATCACTCACTGAGAAATGCAGGTACATCCAGCTGACGAGTCCCAAATAGGACGAAATGCGCTTTACCCTGGATTCCATTGCTAGCCACCATCCACCAATTGTATACTAACTAAATGCTCGGACATCGTCGAAGCATCTGCACAAGAAGCCGACATGTCAACCTGAGACCGAGCACTTCGGTCCAATCAATCGACGGGAAAATCAAAAATTCAATTCAATAACTCATCCTCTATCAAACATTTTAGCCATAGATCACGATGTACGATGTTACAGGACGATCTGACCAGCGCATATCCAATCCATATCGATTTCTTTGAGCAGATATGTTGGACGACAAGTCATTGGCCTATTGGTTGCCAGAGATTCGCGTTGCTTGCCTTCTCCAACTTTCTATCTGATCTTCAGCATCAAATGATATTATCTGTTTATGACAGTTTGTGGCAGGCATTCACGAATACCACTGATGAGGCGTCCCCTGACTCTCTGAATTATATAGACGCACTGACTTGACTTTAGTATTGAAAATTCGGGTCTGGTTGCTTGTGCTGGTTGCTGTATGGCTTTGCGTAAATTCAACAGTAACGGTAAGTGATTGTCTCTTTCTCCCTATTCCATGCTGGGTGGCTTTGAAATTCTCATTGATGCTACCTGTGGTTGATAGAATTCAGTCAAGGTAAGTGATAAAGGCGGCTCTCTTTGGATTTCTCTCGCTGATGGTTACTGGTGTTTGTTGTCCCCTGAGTGTATCCATCATTTCTCTATTCCCTACGTCCTCCCGAACTCCTGTATTCACCGCAAGCCTCTTCCGATAACTTATTGGTTTTCTCTGCTTCATAATTCGAGTTTTACGGCATCAGGCATAATTCATCCGCAAAATATAGATCTTCTAGGCTGTTGAACATCAACCGGAGATGCAAAATAATTCGAAAATTACAAGATATTAAAATTTATACCGATTAAAACTTACTTCATTGTAAATTTGTAACGCAAGAACAATAGAGGAGATAATACCAACGATTACAATTGAGGCAAGCATACTTATCAGCCACTTGCTACTACTCGGTCTCCATAGATCCATTTTTATAGCAAATAATCCCGTGAAGACAGCCATGCAAACTGAAACGCACATAGATATCTCGCACCACAGCGGTACAAAAATTAGTGATATTATGCAAAGTGTTATTGGTAGAAATATGTTCTAAAATCAGAAAAGATAAGTAGACAGAAGAATACATGATCATTTAAACCGTATTCAATACAATTAAATTTCAAATCTCAATGGGCTCTGTATACTTTAGAGAGAGGAGAGTAATTCATATCACATATTATAAGATTCGTAAATAATAGATTCCCGTGATTCCATTAATAGAACTAAGCAAATATATCACATACCAAGTGAATGTGACATATCATTTGATCTGTAATTCACATCATTTATACTGAATGAGCCCGTGGTCAGCTAAGCACAGTTGAAGAAAGGACAAAATTGGAGGAAAACCTTGAAGTTTTGAAGATGGAACTAGCTTCACAAGTATGCATATATAGACTGCAGTAATAAGGTGTGGTTGAAACTGGCACTGCCATGCTCCGTAAGACTCCACGTTCTTATAACACTTCTCTCCACAGTGTTTAGAATTTCTCCCTGTTAAATAACTAGTCACGGGATAAGTTGGATACCAGAAAGTATTCAAGTTGTCTTACTTTTCAAACACTATTAGCTAAACAGAGAGTAATTATTATACAATTGGTGGATGGTGGCTAGCAGTGGAATCCAGGATGCGCATTTCGTCCTATTTGGGACTCGTCAGAGAGTAATTATTGTTACTGAGTGAATGTTTTCATGAAAAAGAGTCATTTGGAGATCCATTGAAAGTCATGCGGTTGTTCCGTTCGAGATTGGGAAATTTCAGCTATGAGTACCCACTAGCTTTCGAAATAGCTGTTCATTTCTCCAATATTATTATTGCTATTATTATTCCCTTGGATTCCAAGTAGAACATAGGTCTTGGACAGCAAAATCTCAGTGTCATCATTTTCTGCAGGGCAGTTCACTTGGCACCACCACAATTGTCCGTTAGCGTGGATCTACTCATCTCATGACCTACTGTGTGCCTCCGTGGAGGCGACTCCCAAAACGTAATTTCCACTTTGGGTCCAACTAGAATAAAAAGTGCGTGCTATCACTTAACAGTCTCTTCAACTTATGTCCATTCCATCTTCATTTCCATCTTCAGATTTGTCAGATGACACATTCTTCGTTAGTCCGTTGTCTCTTCTGAATACTTGTTGGTTTTCGCCTGTGACATTCAAATAAACCATATGCGAATTCCAGATTTTTGAGTATCTTCTTGTAGACACAACTTATGCTGGTCCTCTCGCTTCTCACATTCTACTCCATGATGAAAGACATCAGAATCAGGGATATAACAGGTGATAACTGGTAACCTTCTCTTTCTTATTTTTATCCTCACTTCGAAGACCTATCAGATTCACGTTGTCAATCCCTCCGTTAGTAATATTGTCATCTAGCTGTAGAATCAGGTTTATGAATGTTCATGGCATTACTGCCCTTAGTGTAGAAGCAGCTTCCAAATTACTTCATGAACAATACTATCGATGACATAGGGAGTTGGCTGTCATTCTGTTAGTTGTTCGACAACGATGTATGGCGTCGCCATTCGGTTGGTATATGATTTGCGTCTCCTTCTGGATCCAGCTTTTTCAAGACAGAGTTTCTCATCTACAGCATCATTCAATTTACTTTTATATACCATTCGAAAATTACTTAGACCCTGTGAATTATGAATAGCTTGATACAGAAAATAATCAAAAATCGATTAAGTCAAGACTAGATATTTAGTTATTATCATTAATAATTCACAAAAAAGCCTTACAAGCAATACTGCAAATATTATGTCAATGGCCAATGAATTCACGTATAGTCTGATGAAGAGCCAAGCGATTATTGTACAGAGTAAAATAGCACTGAGGAAGGTATGTAGATCGATAAGAATAATACTGACTTACACAGAGGTGAATACAAACCAAACAGATTTAACAATCCACTCCTGCAAGATACAACTATAAAAAAGGAAACAATGTATCTGTATGCGTGGAACTCACATATGGGTGAATATCATAATACAAACTAAGGATAGAAAGATTTGAACAGCTGTGAGCAGGAGAATTCTCACCTATGAATAGAAAGACACTTGCATGAATTAAAAGCATAATTACTCTCAAACTAATATTGAATCTATTGATGATGTTCAACTGCAAAGTGCTTCTCATGTTTGTGAACTCCTCACTTCAAAATTGCCGGAGAATATGCACTTTACTGTCTTAAACCACTGTTCATGTAGTCGTCTGAGGATAGAGTAATGTGCTTTGAGTTGTTTCACAGCGCGAAGAATCAATACTTGTTCGTGTAGATAAATAATGTTGAGAATATATAAACGTCGTAGAGAGAAGTTGAGGTGTTGAGTAGCCATTGATTACCTTACTTATATAAAGTTCGCACCAGTAAAGTGGTTTTTTTGTCAAAGTACACTCTGTGAAATATTTATGTTTCAAGTAATTGTTCTATACTGCTTTATACCTTTGTACTTTTTCACCACTTTTTTAATACATTTAAGATGCATGATGAATATATTATAAATCAAATAGGGTTAAATGAAAAATGATTTCGTTATAATAAGTAGATATTTTATACATACTTCAAGAATATGTGATGTAAGAAATATGAAAGTAAAACAAGATTTTGAGCGAACAATTGTTTTCGATAACTTCTTCTTCAGGCTCTACAGTTATAAATCCATGAATAATAGAGTACATATAGCCAGTAAAGGCAAATGAAAATAATATCAGAAACTGTATTGGGGTGCATGTGTAAGTTGAGGTGATAGTCCATTAGTTAGCATAGTCAATTAAATGTGTATAGGGTGTTTAGTCAGAAAAATGTGATGAAGTGTGAATGAACAATTAGGTGATATAGTGTAGTTTTATAGTTAACAGAATACAAGTGTCCTTGAGGTGAGAAAATGCGATAACCACAAAATACATGTAAAGACACGTTAAAAAATGAGGCACTGGATATGAGGGCTGACCGATAATGTCTAATGATAAAATAAAAGGGCTAAATTGTAAATTGTAATAAAATGCTACAGAATTGGTAGGTTTAGTATAAAATCATAAAGGTTGACAAAGTAAGGGTAACAATGAGGTGAAATAAACTGGGTGGAGAAATGGATAATAAAGACATGATATCACAAAATAATAATAATGATAATAATAGTACGAAAAGATTATGATCCTGGTGACCTTATAGTGGGCCAGGGTAGACAAAGAGAGTGAATAAGTTTTTTCTGTACACATAGATCTGGTCTTTCTCTATTAATCTCTAAAGCCTCAGCTATGGCTAGGAGGCGTAATCGTGTGCCTTTGGGGAGATTGTTCGGTACCCGATACGCAACTGTAAATGACTCATCTACTTTGATGCTGTGTTCGCAATCCACCAGATGAGACAGAATTGCACTATTAATTGATTTGGTTGTTCTTTTCCCAAGCCAAACAGGAATATGTTCACGAGTGCGTAGAGATAAATTCCTCTGGGTACGACCTATATAACTAGCTCCACAGGAGCAGCTAAATTTATATACACACATTGATGTCGCCATTTTGTTGACGACACCTTTATCATTTGTAACAATAATTTGGATAAACAACATCTGCTGCAAGTCTTCAATAAGGTACACCCAGCTATTAAATTCACTTGTGAAGAGGAACTACAAGGTAGTATTCCATTTCTCGATGTTCTTCTCACAAAAAGATCAGACGGTACCTTGAAAAGAAACATCTATAGGAAAGCGACGTGGAACGGACAATACACCCACTTCCATAGCTTCATACCTATACAATATAAGCGCAACCTAATTCGCTGTCTTAGTCATAGAATTAGACGCATATGTACCGAGGATTGTATTGAAGATGAAATAAAAAATCTTACAAACGCCTTGCTACAAAATGACTACCCTACCAACTTTGTAAAGAAGTATATCTACGAAACTACACATAATACCAAGCGAGACACAGTAAGTAAGAAAAAGCTTTACTTAAATGTACAATTCAAAGGTGATATAGCCAGTGATATATTAAACCGTAGATTAACAAGATCAATTGAAAGAACTTTTAGTGCCGCAAAACTGTATGTCAGTTTCTCAACCAAACCGATATTGACACCGTGCATTAAAGATAGATTGCCCAAAATGGCGACATCAATGTGTGTATATAAATTTAGCTGCTCCTGTGGAGCTAGTTATATAGGTCGTACCCAGAGGAATTTATCTCTACGCACTCGTGAACATATTCCTGTTTGGCTTGGGAAAAGAACAACCAAATCAATTAATAGTGCAATTCTGTCTCATCTAGTGGATAGCGAACACAGCATCAAAGTAGATGAGTCATTTACAGTTGCGTATCGGGTACCGAACAATCTCCCCAAAGGCACACGATTACGCCTCCTAGCCATAGCTGAGGCTTTAGAGATTAATAGAGAAAGACCAGATCTATGTGTACAGAAAAAACTTATTCACTCTCTTTGTCTACCCTGGCCCACTATAAGGTCACCAGGATCATAATCTTTTCGTACTATTATTATCATTATTATTATTTTGTGATATCATGTCTTTATTATCCATTTCTCCACCCAGTTTATTTCACCTCATTGTTACCCTTACTTTGTCAACCTTTATGATTTTATACTAAACCTACCAATTCTGTAGCATTTTATTACAATTTACAATTTAGCCCCTTTATTTTATCATTAGACATTATCGGTCAGCCCTCATATCCAGTGCCTCATTTTTTAACGTGTCTTTACATGTATTTTGTGGTTATCGCATTTTCTCACCCCAAGGACACTTGTATTCTGTTAACTATAAAACTACACTATATCACCTAATTGTTCATTCACACTTCATCACATTTTTCTGACTAAACACCCTATACACATTTAATTGACTATGCTAACTAATGGACTATCACCTCAACTTACACATGCACCCCAATACAGTTTCTGATATTATTTTCATTTGCCTTTACTGGCTATATGTACTCTATTATTCATGGATTTATAACTGTAGAGCCTGAAGAAGAAGTTATCGAAAACAATTGTTCGCTCAAAATCTTGTTTTGATTTCAATATGGGGATTTTTCATTTACTGAAATATGAAATTGCTTAGCCCTGAAACTCTAAAAGAAGAATTTTTTGACTATAGCTTGAAACCACACAGTATTTTTGGTACAAGTATGGAATTTTCAGCATGTGATATCGGTAGCCCAAATTTTGCAGGCCGACCATAGATATCAGGTGTGTGTTGGCGTGGACTCGAACCTCGGACCATGTGTATGGTCGGCGAGATTCCTTAGCACTGTGCCACCGACGCACATGACTCGATGATGGTACTTCATCAAAAATTAGACGTACATTTATTCGTTGGCTTATTTAAAGCTGAAGAAAGTAAAATTTTTGAATGAAATTAACCGTCATCGAGACTGTAGTCAATCCGTTTCTATTTATATGTGAGGCTAAGTTGACTGTGTTTACGACATGCAACGTTATACTCCGTCAAATTAGAGAAAGGCCAACTTTGAAAGCATAGGGCAAATTTATGCATCAATTGAATGATTTCCGTGTGGCTGCATTCCCTGATCTGAGTGGTGTAATCACAGGGCTTTCATGTTCATTATTATTGTTATTATTCAATAATAATAATTTTTGGAGAACATATTCTCCGGACTTTGCAAAACAAAGTTTTCACCTGTGTTCCTTTATAGCTATTTGAACAAAAACGATTAAGCTATGAGTATTGTCCATTCCATGTAGACTTTCGATAAACTGACCGCTGGGCGCTACCATCTTCCAGACGTTTCATAGCAATGTCAAGGAAGAAATGAAACTTTCCATCATTTTCAGGTTCCATAATAAGTTCAATAATGCGTATGTGTGTCGTTGAATAATCTGAGTAGATGTGAAGCATAAATTTCATTGTCATTAATTTCTGTACCTGTACATCTTCGTTCCAACCTTGTTCATCCTGTGAAACTGTGTAGATTGTGTGGTACGCTCTCACATGATGAGTTCGATTGAAGTTCTGATACAGACAGCAGTCAGATTCAGGTGACTAAGTGTAGATCTGTGTTATGAGTAACCGCAAATTCATTCTGTCTAGCACTCGCATTTCGTCTGATGCTATGGTGAAGCACACGAACATAATTTCTAAAATAATAGCACAAATATTTAATAAGTAGTGGCTAACCGATTTACTGCGTGGTATTCGGATGCTTAAAATATCAAATTTTCAACCTCCGTTAATACCAGGATCGCAGTTCCTGATTGGTAGGGTCATTAAAAGCCGCTAGAATGGTTATAGATTTTATATTAGGTGGGTGGGTTTTAGTGGGATTTGAAAAAATACTTCATGAAGTAGTTCTTATGAAGAGACAAAGCCAATTCTTTTCTGTATTCCGACAGACGTTAGTGTAAATGACCTCTTCAGAATTAGCTTATACCGCTGTCTACATCGTTACACTTGTATTCTACTCACTTAGATTTCGTTACATTCGGACAGAAACTAACTCAGGAGGGGATGTGTTTGAAAGAAATCATACCAACATCTCCTATGTGTCGATAAACCTATCTACCGTAAAATTACATGTACGAGTTTTATCTATTCAAGTCATGAGTTTAATTTTATTGAGTATATGCATACCATTTAACATCTGATTCACTTGACGCATATAATTCTGCCTATTACTCTCTATTGTTCCCCCTTAGTTTTTCCAGGGCTACTGAAGAAAGACTATACCTTAATACGTAGGATGTTAAAGGCTGTCAGCAGGGTAAGCAACGTGACACTTAACCAGCTTATTAATATTCTGGTCGACAGGCACATGGACTCATGTGAAAAATGGGCAAAATCCATTTCATCTAACTCACAACACCCTCTTCATTCACAACTATCCCCTTGTATCTCGTTAGTCAAAGCCAGAGACCTATATAGAAAACTCTATGCTCGCACTAGCAAGTACAAAAACTCAACCATAACCTACTTAGCTCGTGTTCTGTGCGATAAAGAAAGCATTAAGCGTGAAAACTTTAAGTTAATAAACAGTCATTAGAACAACTGGATCTCGTCTCTCCAACTCATATCATTTATTGGTACGACGTTTTTCTTTCTTTCTCTTCCTTTTTTCTCTCTTTTTTCTGTTATGTTCAGCCTTGTTTCTTTCTTTTGCTTACGCCAGAAAATATGCCACCATCTACTTTTCTAGCACCTTCAAACACTCTGTTTAATTTTGGCTTTGCTACCGACATGCTAATATGTTGTTTTCAAAACTAACTGAGATTATGCTTAATCTATGTAGAATTTTATTTTATTGTTAATTTACTAACTGGATGCAATACTGTAGTAAAATTATGATAATTTCATTCTGTATCGGAAGCACTGTTCTGGAATAAAGCTATTATCATTATTATATAAACAGACAGGATAAATCCATGGTTTCTACTGACGTGAAATTTGTTCCCATAAAATAGCACGCACTCAAAATGGATCCTTACATGACACTATGGTTTTAAAATGTAGAGAATTATGTCAATGTTAATCACTCACCATTTATAATCCAAGATGTCTTAACTGTTTACTGGCGAGATATTGAGCCAGGAATATAAATGTGACGAAAATATGCCTACAATCGAAATATTCTTCTCAATCCTTTAGCATAAAGTTTCACACCTTCCATGTATTTCTACGTATTAGGGATACAGAATCAATTGTAAAAGATGTGCGAATGAAGCACACTGAGGCAAACAATAAAATGGAATAGCACAGTAGGTGAATATATATTGCCTAGGGAAACATAAACGTCAGTTGTTTACACAAAGAAATATCGTCTGCAATTGAAAATCTAGGATGCCTTATGAATAAGAGATAGAAGTTAGATGGGACAATTTCAATGAATATCTAATATCTGTCTCATGACTCGAACTAGTTT